CGCCCGTGAACGCGACGCTATAGACACGCTCTAGGCCTGCTTATCTCATGCGACAAACAACACGTCCTGCCTGCTGCATTAATGCGCGTAAGTTGCTTGCGCATTGTGAACGATGATGGACACCCGTGACGCGCCGTCGGTGACTACTCACAGCTCCAACACGATGCAGGAGACAGCAGACAGACCCGCTGTCGCGATCGATGTTTCTGGCAACGCCGACCCAGAAAAGCAAGTTGATGTTGATGATGGGAAATCGAGCAAGGCTTCCAACGAAGAAGCGAAGAAAGAAGAGAAAGAGGGAAGTCTGAAAGACTACTTTGTAAGTCACAGATGCGCACGAGAGTAACGACCGCAGACTGATGTCTTTTCTCACAGCGTATCTTTACATATGCCAGCACGGCTGATCGCATACTGTTTGGTCTTGGACTCACAGGTGCCGTCGTCGTTGGTGCTGCGCTCCCCCTGATGACTCTTGTCTTTGGACAGTCCACAGCCGAGTTCAATCAACAAGCGACCGGCCAAGATAGCGCAAACTTCACCAGCAACATTGACAACTTGGTACTCTATTTTGTTTACCTCTTTGTCGCCCGCTTCGTTATTGGGTATTTGGGTACTTTGTGCATCTGTATCGCGGCAGCCAGGACAACATGCGCGTTGCGAGAGGACTTTCTGGACAAGTTGCTCCGTCAGGATGTGGCTCATTTCGACAAAGATGGCAGTGGATCTGCCGCGACTCAGGTTACTACCAGTGAGCAGCCTACTTCAGATGTTTAGGTACACACTACTGACATCGTGGCCTAGATGGCAACAGGATCAATCAAGGCACTGCGGAAAAGCTATTCACATGCGTCCAAGGCATCTCACTCTTCTTCTCCGGCTTCATCGTGGCAATCGCTGTCCAATGGAAGCTTGCTCTTATCGTGATGAGCATAATACCTGCCATCTTCCTAATTACGGGCGTGTGCATAGGCATGGATGCGCCCATCGAAGCTAGAGTGGTCAGTACCAGTGACAACATGTCTTGAAGCCGTGGACTAACAACGTGCACACAGACCAAAATCTACTCGCAAGCTGGTACTCTGGCGCAAGATGCGATCAGCTCAATCAGAACTATTCACGCCTTCGGGGCTCACCAGAAGATCGTTGACGGATACGAGACTTACCTCCAGAAGGCGCACAAGGAGGGCAACAAGAAGTCCGTCATTTATGGCGTGCTCTTCTCCGGCCAAACATTCCTGGTTATGTCAGGTACTTCGCTAGCCTTCTGGCAAGGTTTTCGCATGTTCCAGAGCGGGGAGATTGGTGATGTGGGCACAGTCTTCACCGTCGTCCTGAGTGTCGTGCTCGGTGCCACTGCAACACTGCTCATCTTTCCGCAGATACAGGCTTTCACTAATGCCTCCTCGGCGGCAGGCGAGTTGTTCTCCATCATCGACAGGCCATCAGCCCTCGACCCACTCTCGGCAGAAGGCATGCAGCCATCCGACTGCGACGGGGAAATTATCATCAACGATCTACGGTTCGCCTATCCTGCACGACCCAGCGCACAGGTCCTACGAGGGCTGAGTTTGTCGATACCAGCGGGAAAGACGACGGCTCTAGTCGGGCCCAGTGGATGTGGTAAATCGACCTTGGTCGGTCTGCTTGAGCGATGGTACCAACCTGCTACTGGTCAGATACTGCTTGATGGTCGAGACATCTCCGAATACAACACGAAATGGTTGCGGTCCAACATTCGCCTCATTCAGCAGGAACCTACCCTTTTCCAAGGCACAATCTTCGAGAACATTATTAAGGGCCTTGTAGGAGACCAGAGGGATCTGCCAGCGGAAGTGCAAATGCAACTCGTGCAGGAAGCGTGTAGGAACAGCAACGCGCATGACTTCATCGAGGCGCTGCCGGAAGGCTACCATACCCAAGTTGGAGAGCGCGCAAGCATGTTGAGCGGTGGCCAACGACAGCGCATTGCCATCGCTCGAAGCATCATCTCGAACCCCAAGATTCTGTTGTTTGACGAAGCGACTAGCGCTCTAGACCCCCGCGCAGAGAAGGTCGTGCAGAGCGCACTCAACCGCGTTTCGATCAACAAGACGACGCTGATCATCGCCCATAAGCTTGCCACTGTGATGGCGGCCGACAACATCATCGTCATGAAAGAAGGCCAGATCTACGAGCAGGGTACACATCATGAACTCCTCGAGAGCGATGGTCTATATACGGCAATGGTGCGCGCACAAGATCTTGGTACAAAGGCCAACGACGAGGACATTGAGAAAGAGCTGCTGGAAACAGCAGATGTCGAAGACGCTCTGGACAGCAAAGCCCCCATGCGACGAATGCAATCGCAGTACAGCAACACGGATCTCGAGCGCGAAATCGAGCAGCTTGCTGCTGGGACTTTGGGCTACTCACTCATCAAGTGCGTTTGGATCATGCTGAAGGAGAACCTGGATCTCTGGGTTTGGTATGCCGCCACCATCATTGGGGGCATCATCGGCGGCGGTACCTACCCAGCCCAGGCTATCATCTTCTCTCGTCTTGTTAGGGTTTTCACACTGCAAGGGTCTGAGGCACAAGACGAAGCAAATTTCTGGGCACTCATGTTCTTCGTGCTGGCTCTCGCCAACCTCTTCGCATACTTCGCGATCGGTCTTGCATGTAACAACATTGGGCAGGCAATGACTCATCGCTATCGACGGGAAATGATCGAACGCATTATCAGCTTTGACCAGGAGTTCTTTGACCGCCCGGAGAACTCGTCTGGTGCGTTGACCTCAAAGCTGTCATCTGCACCGACAGCATTGCAGGAGTTGATGTCTGCGAATTTGGGTCTAATGTTCAACATTCTGGTGAACATCACGGCCAGTAGTGCGCTTGGCATAGCGTATGGCTGGAGGCTTGGATTGACGCTGGTGTTCGGCGGGCTGACCATCATCGTCGCTGCCGGCTACTATCGTATTCGACTGGACCAGAAACTCGAGAGTGCCACAGAGGAACAGTTCTCTGGCAGCGCGGGTTTGGCTACGGAAGCCGTCACCTCCATACGGACGGTCAGCATGCTCACTCTCGAAACCTCGATCATGCGGCAATACAGCGACACACTCCGGGCTATCACGGGCAAAGTCGTTAAGAATCTAACCTTTGCGCTGATCCCATACGCGCTTTCGCAATCCGCTGACTTCTTAGTCATGGCTCTAGGCTTCTGGTACGGATCGCGGCTAATTGCAAAAGGCGAGTACACTACGTCGCAGTTCTTTGTCATCTTCATCGCCATCGTCTTCGGTGGACAGGGCGTCGCGCAATTCTTCATGTACAGCACCTCAATCACAAAGGCGGAAGGGGCCGCAAACTACATCTTGTGGCTGCGCACTGTCAAACCGACCATCTGCGAATCCGATGAAACCGACGGGAAGGGGCCACCATCCGATGGCACTATCGCCATGGAGGACGTCGAGTTCAGGTACAAGCAGCGCAACGCATTCAGGGTGCTGAGGGGTATCTCGATGAAGATCGAGCCCGGGAAATTTGCTGCTTTTGTTGGCCCTTCCGGTTGTGGCAAGAGTACAGTCGTATCTCTGTTGCTACGCTTCTACGACCCGATATCCGGACGCATCACATTAGACGATCAGGATATTTCGCTCATGTCCCCTCAGCTCTACCGCCGTTACATGTCGCTCGTGCAACAAGAGCCACCACTCTACCTTGGCTCCGTACGAGAAAATATCGCCCTTGGTCTTGAGCACAAGCCTTCCGACGCAGAAATCCAGGAAGCTTGTCGCCAAGCTAATGTCCTAGAGTTCGTCACTTCCTTACCGGAGGGTCTTGAAACCCCTTGTGGATCCAAGGGCTTGCAGTTCTCAGGTGGTCAAAGGCAGCGTATTGCCATTGCCAGAGCACTCATTCGCCAGCCACGATTGCTGTTGCTGGATGAAGCAACTTCGGCGTTGGACACTCAAAGTGAAAGGATCGTGCAGAAGGCGCTGGATGAGGCTGCGATGTCAAGAACGACGATTGCCGTTGCGCATAGGCTGTGAGTACCTTCCGCCTCGAGTGCCAGATTACATTTGCTGACAGTTATACAGGAGTACCATTCGACATGCAGATGTTATCTTCGTTATGGAAGATGGTATTATCGCCGAAATGGGTACTCATGAGGAACTGCAAAGATTAAGAGGAAGGTATTTCGCTACGTGCTTGGCGCAGTCGCTCGACCAAGCATGATTTGATACTTATAATACGAGGCTTTTTTCAACGCATGCAGATCGTCGCGATACACGTGAAGTCAGACTGTCTAAGGCCATTGTAATTGGTTGACGCGGTCCTTCTCTTTGACGAGAGCTAATTCGCATGTTCAGACCTACTAGTCCGCTCCCGTTTCTACAGTCGCCCCGCCTCGCCTAGTGTTTTGCTGATTACAGCAAGCGTTCAGCGGTCGGGAGTATTACCATACATCAAGTTGGCACCTACATTGACTGCCATGGTTACTCTCACAGAGCACTCAACGATATGTCTTCCTTAACCCGGAACTCCGAGCTTTCGCTGCTCGCCATGCCAACCAATGATCGGCCATCCTTCAGGGAGAGTTGCGAACGGAGGCAGTTCGTACCGGCCATGGCAAGCGCCACTAGTGCACTTCAGGTTGCACAACCCAAGCATTTTGCAATAGCACACACTCGCATTGGGGCAGTGAATAGGGTCTTGCCCAAATATTACTACAAGAATTAGTACACTGGGAACTCCATGACCAGGGTGGGGTATCTTACTATGCCAGGAATACTCCATAATCCTTCCACTGATTGAGTCTTCCAAGGTTGTCCTCAGCAACAAATTTCGAATGCGCTCATAGTATTCAACCGGTTGTTCCTGTATCTTTTCCTTCGTAGCAGCGAATTGCGCGCAGCAAGAAACACCAACTGCCATTGGAATGTCGCGACCTGGGAAGATCACTTCAAAGGCTTGTTTGTAGAAATGACCCGCATGAGGCTGAGTGTGGGCTGCGTCTACTGCATCTGTGAGTGGGCGAATCTCGTTCGGGCAACCCAGAACCCATACACAGCGCAGGTTGAGATACCCTTTTTCCTGTAGGTAGGAAAAGCGAAACTTTCGCAGGATCGACAGACCGTCATAGTCGGGATCGTCGTTGTGCCATTGGTATCTCTCCGCGTGGAGAAAGAGAATGTTCGCTGGCAATTTGTGGTAGTTGTCGATGATGAAGCTATTTCAGAGTCAGTCCTTGCATAGCAAACGACATAATCGCGTAGGGTTGTATTCATACGAAAGATACACCATCGATTCACGACCCTTGTTCAACGGCACCGTGAGCTCGGCGGTTGGATCGTCCACCACATAGACATATTTGCGCCACTCTGGAAGCTCATCGTAGAACCAAGACGTATTCTCATGCTTCATGGAAGCGATGACTAGGGCCTTGTCGAACGGGCCTTCGTTAAGAGCGATGCCGCCATAAAGTTTATCGGGAACATTCGAGCTCAGTTTCCAGAAAGTCAGAACGGATAGGAGTACGAGACACGTAGCGATGAAAGGGTTTCGAATCGGTCGACGCAACGCGGACATGACGTTGGCGTAGAGTCTCATATTGGAATTGAAGATCGATGAAGAAGGAACGACGCACAAGTGCGAAATTTTATTCCATCCCTCCAGACATTAGGAGCAGCAGCACATGACTGTGGTGTACTTTGGTTGTTGAGATGAGATTTTACTAAGGACCATGGTAGCGATACGCTGAAGCCAAGGTTTACATTGGACACGTGATAGCGTAGAGTCTGCTCATGGATCAGGGCATGTCTGAGTGATATGCGCGGAATCATGACCACAGCAATATTACGAACGTGTCAGCAGCAGCTGAAAGGGTTCAGTTCCGGCCCCCAAAGTCATGCCGCGGCCAAGTCCAAGGATGGTTAGCCTCTGGCCCCGATCTCGGCTCGACGTGCATTAGCGTGATGAAAGATCGACCAGACGACAACAACACGCTGCGACACATCTTCAAGCACACAAAACGACGGATGTAGCCGCGAGAGCGCTACTTCGACAGATTCCAACGATGAGGATAACAAGTCACACCGGAGCTTCACAACCGGCTCTGATGTCCATCAACCTCGAGTCGCCAGACTGAGCGACGTGTTTCGTGGCGCCTCCGCTCAAATTCAACATGTGGCAAATCGACGCCATAAGCCACCCATAGTCCAGGAAATCGTCACTATCTTGTTTCAGCTGCAGCCACAACGAGACCTACTCCTATTACTGGAGGCCTTGCCGTGGGGCCAACGTGCTCTTGGCACGAGAACGTACCTACAAGATGGATTGCCCTTTTTCTCGTCACCAAGCGCAACCATGGTGGAAGCGCAGGTACCGGAAAGGCCCCGACTAATCTAATGCTGTCTTGCAGCATCTGTATTCTGCATATTTCCAGACAAAGATCAAAGTCAACTACAAGCATGAGGCTAAGCGCCAGGCTGCCTGACAGCCTTAGGCCGAACGCCAGGCCGCTCAGCCAGTAAATCGCAGACTTGCGGTAAGGCCCCCAAACTAAGATGGGCGATAGCCACTGCAATTGGTCTCAATATCGACCGCAGCACAATGGCGGTGCACGGCCTTTCAGCACACTATTCTCATAAGATCAGATCTGGGCCTCGCTCGCGTGGTTGTACGTCTCTACCAAACCATTCTCTAGACGCGTACCGCATTGTTACCTTCGGCCTTCAACACCAAATCCGCTTGACCGATGGCTGGCTCGTTCATCACGGTCTCGCGATGGGTCTTCTTCCTGTTCTGCCTTACTACGGTCACTTTTGCGCATACACTCAATAAGCCCCCGACACGAGCACTCGACCTTCGACCAAGAACTTCCCCCACACCACAGGAAGCTGCACTGAACATCAAGCGCGCCCTCAAGCAAGGACTCGAAGTCTTCAAACGCGATGTATGCGAAGATGCGTTTCCAGGCGAAGGCGCAGTAACAAATACCTGCAACCCCAGCAATACGCTCTGCTGTATCCGAAAGGGAGAAAGCTACCCCCAGTGCCAGAACCTCCTCGATAAAGGATGGTGCTGCATCGACAATCCCAATAGCGAGCCTGGCTGTTACGTCGACCAGCCATCTGTCTGCGAAGAAGCCGACTCGGTGCCATGCGCTAACCTTGAGGCTGGCGTAGACCAAGCATGCTGTCCAGGCCAGACTACATGCGCGTCTGGCTACAAATTCACCGAGAAGTTTGTACGTTGCCAGATTCTCTCGGCTGACCTCGTGTCATTAGCCAGTGCGAGCGCTGCTCCTACAAGTAGCTCAAGCATAGAACCGAGCTCCGCTTCGCCGACGTCCGAAATCACCTCGTCTGCATCAAACTCCGTATCATCAGCGTCCTCCTCCGTTCCTGCTACAGCATCAGACGTCCTTTCCAACGCAGCATCGAGCGCCATACCGCCACCTCCGTCTAGCGATTCATCTTCGTCTTCCTCGTCCTCCTCCTTGTCAGGCGGTGCTATCGCGGGTATCGCCATTGGACCGACACTGGCGCTGGTAGTCGGCGTAGGCCTATGGTTCCTTTACAAGCGTCGACAGAAGAAGAAAATGCAGCAACCCTACGCCCCGGCAGTAATGTACCAAGACGCGTACCCAAAGGCCGAGCTGGCATCAGAGCCCGTAATTCCTGGGCCCTACAAACATCAACATGCTGCCGCCGAGCCACCTCAGGAGATGCCTGTGCAGTACACCTACGAACTCGACGGCGGGGTTCATCGCGGACCGTAGAAGAGGAGTAATGCTGTTGCGAGGACACGCTTCTCTGTATAGTGTCCATGGCTGTGCCGACACCCGACAATCACGCCATCGTGCATTGTAGCCACGTGTAGACGAGAGCACGTTGGCTTTGTACTTTCGTGTTAGACGTCTTGTATCTTTAATTTACTTACCTCATTTCATCTGAAAATTCCCAGCGATCTGCACATCCTCATCCGAAGCCAGTATCTCCTCGCGCATTAGTCGTATGGAATCCGGGAGGTGTGGTTGGCTCGTCGTCTCTGGGTCGCCTCTGGGTCATCGCAGTACCATGGGAAGATGAGTATCACGCTGTGAATCGCCTTCATGTTAACTGGTGTGAAAAGTGAAAGTGAATTCGACGTGCCTTCCTCGCTGCCTGTGGCTCGTGCCAGGAGACAATCCAGAGCTCTTGCCTCCTACCTCTCGCGTCCATACTACACCAATTCTTTTCCGAAATCTGCCAAAAATCGCAAAAATGCGAGGACGCGGCAACCATTCGCAGGGCTTCGGCCAGCGTCAAGTGCCGACAGGACCTCGAAAAGGGGGCTACAATGCGCCATCTGGAGCACCTCGTGGCAGAGGTGGCTACAGTGCCAATCCCAGTGCCAACGGGTACAACGATGGGTCTGCCCACGACAATGCCAGTGCCAATGCCAATGCCGATAACGGGCAGTATAGGCTGAAGCTCGACGTCAAGTACTACCTTCGGCCCCACGACTGCGTCGATCAGCTGGAGATACCGGCCGGCTCTGGAATGAGCCGCAAGGACACGACCTGCCTGCATTGTGGGCAAACAAACATTTACGGGCATGGCTCGTATCATCTGCTCCGCGACGGCTCCTGCCCTCGTCGCTGCTGCCGTTGTGGAACCATGAACCACCAAGGATGCGTAAGGCTTCTCCCCCATGCTGAGGTCCACCAGATGCTGATGCTCGATAGCTTTGTGACCGATATTGGCTCTCTGCTGCCTTCCTGAAGCGTGCATGCCCAAGCGAAGGGGTGCGTAGGCCCAGGCAGACTCGCCCATCGCCACTCGATCTGGAGGTCATTCGACGCGACTACCCAGAGCACCGCGAGTTTGCCGAGAGCGTGCTGCCGCTTGCCGACAAAGGACACTACCATCCGTCGCTGCAGGTGCCCAAGCGCGCACGGGAGGACGACGACGAACAACCGGAGCCGAAGCGATCACGGACTGATGCCGGTGGTGCCGAGATCGATAAGATGAGGGCGGACATGTATGCTCTCCGGGCCGAGAATGAGCGGCTCAAGACTGAGATTGAGCAGCTCAGGGCTGAGAATGAGAGGCTCAGGGATGCGAGTCGTACTTCTGCTCCTTTCGTTAAGAAGGAAGAAGTCGAGGAGCATGGTGTCGAGACTCTTAGCGAAGAGTTCGACAGACTCGTTGAAGAAGAGCTTGCTCGAATAAGTCGGTGAGGTGGATGCCAGTGAGGATTATCTCGGCAAGGCTGTGCGTTATCTGGAGGGCTAAGAGGTGACGGTGTCGTCGTCTTGTAAGAATCTCTCGCGAGGGCCCCTCGCGAGTAGAACACCCGTGAGAAACGCTCATGGGGAAGGGGAAGATAATGGTACGGGGACGATGGCTTCGTCGTCCTTATGGACGCCCTAGATGATGTTGTACATAACGGCAGTGTGCCTTGCCGCTTGCAATATATGAATACATAGAGGTAGCAACATCGATGAATGTGATTGTATCAATGTACGACTGATGTGCTTGCTGCGTTCGGCTTCCACAATCTTGCATGGTGAAGACATCTCAGCCTGTGATCCATTTTATCGACGTAGTTGCTAGACTTGACACAAGACGGCATGCGTCGCTACTGAGACAGAACTTCTCGGGTGTTTGAAACCATGTTCTCTTTTTCGGCACATGCATTCGGGCTGATTAGACGCTCCAAGATCTTGCCAAACTATTGTACAGTTCCTCCTCCGGCGAGCAAAAGGGAGGGCACATCGGCAGTGACACGGCGAAGAAACTAGGGCTTTACGACCTCAATGTCGGCAACATCTGACGAAAGTCGGAACACATTCTCGAGTCGCAGGGCGCTTTTGTGAGTTGTTCGCGGTATACCTAGATAGACCGATATGAACGAAACATCTCAGTGACGTAGCGGAGGGCGGTTTGACACGGGGTTGTGCTCCTGCTGCTTTCCATAAGCGGTGTTTACGGACCCACTTTTCTGCGCACTCACCTCACAGTCAGTCCATGATACCTTCTCTCTTCAACACCGACATCCATTGCTTTCTAGCAACACCACGCTGAGATGGAAACTGCCGGTATGTTTCATTAGCTGGCGCTCTTGATCGACCGACTAACAGATTGTAGCAGAAATAGCGCAGCAGCGCATCATCCACTTGCGAAAGACAATTGCCTATGGCAAGACGCAGCCCAAGCGATTCTTGCCCCATTTCCTCCAAAAATGGGAGGAGGAGATTGCCAGCCTTTTGCCGATCGCCAATCCTTTGCCGGCGTCGCCAAACCCAGAGACGAGTGCCGCTCCTGGGAAGGAGGAAAAGAAGGTTGCCGAACTGAGCGGAAGCCTGTGGGTTCCCAAGAGTGCTCTCATGAAGAAGTACTTTGGAAACGAATTGCCGCTGCCACCTTCGAGACCATCAATGTCTCTTCCTCCACAGACCCCTGCCCCTGCCCCGGCCACGACCAACGAGAGGGAAACAACTGCCGGGCCCATCAACGGCCTGTCGAGAGCCGACGCTCACCGTGCCGCGAGGGATTCCTGGTGCAAGGAGCATGGCCTGGATCCCAACGATGAGATCAGCGGGTGGAAGTACGCGGAATTCCGGCGACGTGGGGGAAGATGAAGACCTGAGCGGACGATTCCCTTCGGGGTCCCATATCTGATACGGTCGTTGCCAAAGTACCTGCTGCAGGTGTGTGGGAAAATGGGTCTCGCGAAGACTGCTCGCTGTAGCCAGCGAGCGGCATGAGAGATGCGTAATTCCGTTCGACGATTCCGTCGAGCAGGTAGCACATGAAAGCGCTGGACGAGCGGTGCCTCTGGTTGGTGGTTTTGCCGAGATGTATTATAGTTAGTCAGTGCAGGCGATGCCTTTGCCAATGCTATGCACCCATATCCCATCATTCCCCACTCCGTATCTTGTGTGACAATTTCATGAACGCTCACATACGTTGCGAAGTATATTGAGACGGCGTCCCGCAGAAGTCCACGTATTCTGTGCCATTCATAGTCTGGCATGACGGCAAGAAGCAGCGCGAGAGGAAACCCCACTATGTTGGTGTTGAAAACACGTTGCACGCTTCTGATCTTCCTGCGTCTCCCGGTATGCTGGAAATCATCATGATCCCTCTCTCGCTTCAGTACGCTGGAGCCCCATCAGGGCTCTTCTCCTGTTTTGTTCATTGTGAAGTGCAGACGTTTCCGGATCTCATGGAGAGGATGTATTCTGGTTTCGGAGCAGGAGAAGCAACAGACATCGGTCAGTGATGAAGTTGTTTTGGTATTGAGCTACAAAAGGCTGGTTGTAAAGGAGGTAGAACCAAGACCCGCAATTTATATACCTCTGGAAGGGTAGATGTTTTGCCGAGCGTTGCTTCTCTCATGTTCTTTGAGTGTCTTCGTTTCTTTGACAGAACAGGAGAGAAAGACATGTCGGAAAAGCACTTGAACTTTGGTGTCTGCACGACGCAGAAGGCATTTGAGAACGTGGGTTGAAGCAAGCATAGCTTGATACGTCTCAGCACAATCTCTCATCAATGCGATAGATGTAATGTTCGAGACTGCCCTCTCGACTCATATAGTCAATGTTTGTTTTTTGGAAAAGAGAGAAGAGACATCCGATCGTTGGGTGTGAGTTTGAGTCTTGCCGCAATTGAGTGTGGCATGAGAAGAATGGAAAGACGGGCGTAACGGCCGGGCTTTTATACCACCACAAGCCTAGCCGCTACTCATAAGGCCGATGTTGCGGCATTCCAGTTAAGCTTCGTCGCGCTCACCGTCTGCGACATGGAATGACACGAAACAAATTTTCTCTTTTTTTCGACAGGAAACATGCGCTGTCTCTTATGGTCTTTTTTGGTGAAGCGCGGCGCCGGCAATCTCATCAAAGAGGATTCCATGGCTTTTGGGAGAAAGAAGAGACTCGCGACATGATCACATCTTCGAGATCTTTTGGTACCGCCACCACCTGTCATAGAAGATTAGGTTGTATGTTTTTCAGAGCAAGAGCGGAGAACAGCACATAGAGATTCAAGCTTGTACTTTTGGTCGCGAAGATTGAATGCTGCACATGGTATGCAATCTCTGATGTTTTGACAATGTCGCAAGCAGGGACCACAGCTATCATATAACTGATGGGCGCTTTTTTGGGCAGCGACAAGTCATGGTCCATGGCCCTGGCTGTTTTGGTAATCACCTCTTTGTGGGTGAGGATATGGAAGGGAAGGAGACCAGGAGGAAGACGGGGGCTTTTGTATCGACCACTTCAGAGAAGAGCGAGTCATAGGGCGTTTCTTTTTGCGTTTTGGTAGTTTCATGAGGAGATTGTACGGGTGTTGCTGGCACACATATGAAGTGAGGGACATAATTTTGGACAGCTTCCACATCGTGAGCTCTGATATGGGATTTAGAATGAAGCGCTGTGGTCTACTTCGCGACACATGAAGATGAATGTCTGCCTTTTCGTGTGGACAACCCAGGAAGACCTCAGTCATGTAGAGCGATAGTCAGACTTTTGAAAGACAGGCAGTCATCGTACAGCTCTTGAAGGTTTTTGGTAATAAATGGTAGAGGTAGAGTGAAGTGTAGAAGACAAAGCAGAGCGAAAGGCAGTAGGTATTTATACACGCCCAAGACTAGCGCTCAGACTGCCGCAAGCGTTCTCGAACTGCATAAGTGTGGACTTGTCAAATTATCAGGAGGAGCAGACATGCCATGCAAGCATCATGTTTTGAAAGCCCCAACATATGGTAGTTCTTTACAGCTTTTAGGAATACAGCACCGTCAATCCCGATTCTCGCACATAGGCAGAGATCATGTACCGTCTTGGTGATATTTTGGAAGTCGCAGTCGCGCACATGAGATCTTCGACGTCCGTGTTTGAAGCACGAAATTTGAGGAAAGAGGGCTTTCTTGACAGACATAACAGCTTCTGAAGTTGATTTCAAGAAGCACAGAGGCATGTCAAAAACTCCATCCAGATTCGGACAAAGACGAGTCGCGTCACATCCAAAGGCGCTATCATAATTTGAACTGGGAGCCTGGAATGAAACTACTCTTTCTCCAGCCACATCGAAGCTTCCCTTCATCTTTTTAGGTCTGGATGAAGAAAGTTGGACAACGAGACAGAGAATCATTGACTTGTCGATCGTCGCATTTCAGAATCCATCTTCGTGACTGTTGCTTGCTTTCATAGAACATGACGTATATGAGGTAAGATTTCGTCTTTTCCACACACATGGCAGGGTTTGTTGAACTTTTGTTCCAACACCAGACCACACAGCCATTCCAGTCTTTCGTTTCTTGTTTTCGACGGCGCAGTCGCAGAACATGACATGAACTGCGTGGGTTTTGGATCGGAAGGCTGAATATGGGAAGCGCGGAGGTCGTCTCAGTCATTCATAGTGGAATTGTTGGTTTTTGGAAAAGAGGACGCACATGTAGGGCTGTGTACAACTCTTTTTGAGAAACTCTAGGAAGAGGTGTGATAAAGAAGGAAAGAAGAGAGCGCAGAAAGACGGTGTTTTATACCCGTGCCCGCCCAGCTGGCGACCAAGACCGGAAGAAGCTGCGGAAGTCATCCAGAAAGGGCCGGTCGCTTTTGGTTCTCCATGAAACGATTTCCGGCAATCTTTCCGAACACATGGAGCACTTCTCCGACTTTTCGAGATCATAGCCAATCACAGCCAGCGTTTTGAGATGGCAGAAGTCCGACAGTCTTCCCACTCATGTACGATCTGGCTCCACATTTTGGAAGAGAGACAGCACATATACCCAAACACCCCAGTTTTTGGTTTTTGAAAAACGGAAGTGTGATGCAGAAGACCATAGCAAAGGATGCCGCTGATTTTATACCCACAGCCAAGCTGCCAGCAACGACGGTAGTGGTGTGAACGAAAGACCAGCGTTGGGATGCATAAACGTTTCGCCGTTGTTTTTTCTCTTCTGACTTTTCGGAAGTGTCTGCTCCTCTCTTCTCCAACATGACGAATGTGTACTGTTCTTTTGGAAAGAGGAGCGACGGCCATTGAGTGGTACTCTGGATGTTTTGGTCAAAGGACGCAGACATACCAGCAAAAGTATGTGGCTTTGAGAGAGGAAGGAGGCTGACGCAGCCCATGGGAGGTGCGTCTGGTGTTTTCGAGGAAGACACACAGGTCATGACTTTTCCCCAACCTATTTTTGAAAAATACTGGTAATTGAGTGTGATGAAGAAGAGAAGGATAGTGGGTGCGAGATGGACTTATATACCCACCACAAAGATCGGACGACTCCCGCGTTGGTGAGACTTTGCGCACGACACCCGCAAAAGTTCCAAAACACATCCTAAATGCTCATTCAACTGGCCGCTACCATACATCCCAATGATTTCCCCCTCATAAATTCCCCTCAACCTCATGCTGATGCCGCCGCAACTCCCTCCCCACCAGCACCATCCTCAACCTTCCTCTTCTTCTTCCCATGATGCCCCCTCGCCTCGACCCTCCCCTCAACCGGCACCACCCTCGTAGCCGTAAAAATATACCCCTCAGCCCCACCCTTACTCGTCATCATAGGATGCGTTCGGCCAGGAAGAACCTGCCACTGCCTCGCTCTTGCCGTCTGCAGTGAAGGCGCAAGAACCAACGTGGGGTTGAGCGGGAAGTCGTCTTCTTCGTTGTCGGCTTCGGAGGTGCCTGCTGGGGTATCGATGTCGTCTTCGATTTTGACTCGTTTGCCGTTGGTGTTACCGTTACCGTTGGTTTGCGGCGGCGGCCCAAATTCGCGTGCGATGTACGCCGCGCGGCGTTCTTTCGAGTAAAGATCGCACAACTCAACCAACGGCTCAACATTCGGATTATACACCACAATCCTCCCCCCACCCTTCACAAGCGGCACCAACTCCCTGAGCACAGTCTTCGCATCCATCGCCGTCGCCACCACCAACCCATCAAACCCACCCCTCTTCGTCTCATCCACCACACCCTTAACCCTCTCCCAGCGTCTGCGCTTCTTGTAATACGTACCGCGTTTCGTCGACTTCATGCTTGCAAGGACTTCCTCGGAGATTATCTCGGGCTCGTCGTACGAAGGGTCGTCTTCGGGGTGGAGGAGGGCGAGCCAGGAGAGCGATTTGAGGTGTTTGTAGAGGGGGTGGGCGGGCGTGGGGTTGCCGTAGTCGTAGCCGAAGTATTTTAGGTAGGATAGGTTGGGTTGGTTGTTGGGGTGCAGGACGGTGAGGGTGTTGGTTTGGGCGGACATTTGCGGGATGTGTGGTCGTGGGGGCTTTCGTGGGCGTGGGGGAGGATCTGAAGGGGTGGCTGTGGGGTCTGTGGTTGTTGTGGCGTCGGCGTCGGGCATAGCGGTGTCGGTGTCTTTGGGCGATGGGGCGGAGGCTGGTGCTGGTGTGCCGTTCATCTCGGTATCGACTGCCTCCTCTTCCGATGACGAGTCGTCGTATTCTTCCTCGGGGTAGAGGATGCCCATCTTCTCGGCGAGTGCTGCTGTGACAAGCCCTCCGGTATCGTCTACCACGAGCCATCGCCCCCCTCCTACCTGGCTGACTCCATCCTCCGCCAAGTGAATCTGGTTCGTCGCCCCAGAGTGTATGTTTGCCCAGCTGTTGATCAAGCCCAGTAGGTCTTCCCTCAGCTCCATGATCTTGTATGCCTCCTTCTCCAGAACATACTCTGTGAGCAGACCAACATCCATGGGCAGGGCGGTGAAGCGCTTCAAGTACTTCTTCGACTTCCGCAGGGTGTATTTGGCGAGCGAAAAGCTCGTCTTCTCGTCGATCGCATTGTGGGATGCCATGATCTTGGCGATGATCTCCTTGCCGGAGCCAGCGCCTGCCTTCTTCAGCTCCTCAATCTCAGCCATCGATAGTGCCTGCCGTGAAGCATCGTCAACGGTCAAGCGGTTGTTGCGCATGATGACCTGCCCATCTTCTCCCACAATGTCGAAGCCCGTAGCACCCGCAGCACCCTCGGCAGTCTCTTCGCTGGTTTCTGCAGCAGGTGCATGCTCGCTACCTAGAGCTTCGGCGTGGAGTTCGGAAGCGGGTACGACGCGCAGCTCCGTCTTGGATTTGCCATCGTCCTTGTCGAGCAGCTCGTAGGTGAGATAGTACGGGCGGCCGAGGAGGAGGTTGGAGTTGAAGGTGCCGAATTTGCCGAGATTGATGCTCCTGTAGGGTGTTTAGAAGAAATCCTCATCTATATGCACACGGAGGGCTCACTCCAGCTATGCGACGTACGTATTCGGTGTGATTTCGACGATCTTGAAGAGGCCTGAGGGCAGTCGCAGCGCAACGTGCGTATTGGGGCGGACGTGGGAATGCATGGCGCGAGTGTAGTCGCGGCACTGTGTTGGTCACTATTCCATGTGTAGTTATGGTTAAAAGTCTTGGTATGGTATCTCAGTCCCGAGTTCTGCACGCGCAAAGGTGAGTTGGAGCTAGTGAATTTGTCGCAAGGAATAGTTCCGAGGCGCACCGCCGCGTCTTACTCAGCCACAGGCTCAGCCACACACTCGCACCAGTCGTACGTCATCGCCATCGCGACTTCTGCTACTTGGGCGTGTCACTCGGGTCCAACACGTCGCTTACGTCGACTACTTTGCTTCTTTCGCTGGAGTCCTGCTTCAATATCAATCCCCTTCACCCGCCTTCCTCATACTACCGCGCCGCGCCGACTGTCGCGAGAACTCCCCCATATTCCACACCAAGCCCCACGGCACTGCACCGTAAACATGGTGCTACGAAAGTCCGACGAAGCCGACGACGTCGTTCCAGCGCCGCTCTCCAAGGCGATCCCCCCGTATCCCACGACACCCTCCGACGAGCACCCGCCTGCCTTTCCCGTGTCGCCCGAGCGTGCCGTGGACCCGCCCAGCACGAGCAAGTCCCCAGCTTTCAACATCAAGACGCCTGAGGAGACGCGACTGCCCGACGACAAGCACGAGAGCGACTCGGACCTGAGCGAAGACGAGTGGAACCAGTCGGATGATGACTTCGAAGACATCAACCACAACGATGTGCCTGCCGCCCTGAAGCCGGCTGCTCGAAAAAGGCCACCTGTGCCAAGTACTACACACATCACCAGCGGTCTTCCCGATGCTCTGCGACCAGGGCCGCCCGCAGGTATCCCCATCAAGCGCTCACAGGAAAGCATATCGGCCACGCCCACCGGTGCCAGCGCGGCTTCCTACGGCGCAGCCAGCACCGTGTCCGAGCAGTCCAATGGCTCCATCCCGCTGAAGACCAACAACCCCTACCTGAAGATGCAGACAACTGGGGGGAATAGCTGGGACGGAGAGAGCAGCCAGGCTATCTGGGGCGATGCGCCGAGCCACGCCCACAAGTACGAGGCGCCCGTCGAGCTCCCGGCCTTCCAGACGCCAAGTACACCCACCCACGACATGAAGAACCTCGGACTAGATGACCATGCCCCGTCTATGCAGTCGACAGCACCAGTAGAGCCGCCTGTCATAGCCGTGAACTCACCTACACCTCGGTCGGAGCATGCAGACACCTCCCTCGATACGAATCCATGGGAACCCGCCTCGCACGATGCTCATACTGACACTGTACCCTGGACGGCACCGCCAAGCGATGCAGCTGCCCGTAATGAAAGCTCACACAACATTCCCGCCCCAATCATTCCAAATGCGAATACTGCAGAGCAATCGTCTCTTCCACCTCAATACACGCCCGAGCAGACACCACCCTCCTCCGAAGAACCTCCACCTGCGCTGCCGCCAAGAAGGTCGCACGAGGACATGGCGCCTGCAATGCCTCCTAGACCCATCGACACAGGGATCGGTTCGTCCGCTCCTCACGCCTTGGAATCGCCCAATACGACAATGGAGAGGCAGAGGAAGGAACACTACCAAATCAAGCACATTCGCTGGCTTGATCACACCATCGAGGACATGCGCGTTTCGCCTATCCTGACGCAGAACCTGAATGGCCCCTGTCCTTTGCTGGCTTTGGTCAACGCACTAGTCCTTTCGACTCCTGCTAGGCTTGACACTGCACTTGTTGAGACATTACGCACACGCGAGACAGTCAGCCTAGGGCTACTACTTGATGCTGTATTCGATGAGTTGATGTCTGGTCGACGTGGTGATGCTGCACAAGCTCTGCCCGACGTGAGCGAGTTGTACAAGTTCCTGCTCGCTCTCCACACAGGTCTCAATGTCAACCCCATGTTTGTCCCGGACTCCAACACCCCGGATGCACAATCCACGCTCACGAGCCGAGCTGGCGCTTTTGAGAACACCCAGGACATGAAGTTGTACCGCACTTTCAACATCCCACTAATGCACGGATGGCTGCCCGAGGCTGGATCCGACGCTTATGCTGCCTTTAGTCGCGTAGCAGCGTCATATGAAACATCGCAGTTTGTTCAGTTCCAAGAGGAAGAATTGAATGCGAAGCTGGGGGCGGGCGAGTCTCTGAACGAGGACGAGCAGCAGATGTTCACGGATATCCATGCCATCAAAGAGTTCTTGATGCGATGGCCAACACAGTTGACCGATCATGGTTTGAAGGTCATTCGCGATAACCTCCAGCCCGGTCAAGTCGCTATCCTGTTCCGAAACGACCACTTTTCGACGCTTTGCAAGAACCCTCGTAATGGCGAGCTCGTCACCCTTGTCACAGACCAAGGCTATTCCACCCACGACGAAATTGTATGGGAGTCTCTTACCGACGTCAACGGCCAAGGTAGCCAGCTCTTCTCCGGCGACTTCCGCTCCGTCGACAACAGCAACACGTCCGGCCTACAAGACCAGCACCAACCTTCCAGCGTCGACAACGGCCAAGGCTGGACCACCGTCCCCGCCCGCCGCGGCAACGCACAATCCAACATCCCCCAAGACACCTCCGTCACCTCCCCGGAAGCCCTCAGCCGCGCCGAACAAGAAGACCACGACCTCGCCCTAGCCCTCCAGCTCCAAGAAGAAGAAGAAGACCGCGAGCGCCGCGAAACGGAACAACGCAACACCCGCAACAACCAACTTTCCATGGACGCTATCAACGCTCCGCCCCAGCCACCGCGGAACCCACAGAACCCGGTCATTCCGCCCCGCCGTAACAATAATATTACGGGGCATAGACCTGCTGGGGAAGCAGCGCCGCCGCCGTTGTACGAGGAGGCTATCACGAGTCCGCAATACGTGCCTCCGGCTGGGCATCCGGCGAGTGCGCAGGCGCCGGTGCCGGGCCAGGGCGGGAGTGCGTATCAGAGTACGAGTGGCGGGTTGCCGGCGCTGCCTGGCGCGGGGAGGGGCAGGCATGGTAATGTTTTGCCTGGACGGATGGGCGGAGGGAGGAGACCGAGTCAGGGGCAGCAGGGACAGGGGCAGGGACAGGAGGAGAGGGATAAGTGCGTTGTTATGTAGACGCGCTCTTCTCTTCCCTTCCCTTCCCTCCCCTTCCGCTGTTTGGTTGTGAGGGGATGTGTTTGACTATATGCTGACATGTCACATTAGAGATTCGGAAGAGGTGCCGTGTTCGTGGTGTACGGTTAGTTAGTATCCGTTGTGAGCGCGGACCGAGGGTATCTAGATGTTGTTGCGGTTATGATCACGGTGATGACTCGGGCGTTTGGTGGTGTTGGAGTGTTTATATACCCGTTATCCTTTTTGCTTTTCATAGTACGCGGTGGGTATGGTGTTTGTTGCATCAAGTTGGAAGCAGTATTATTAACCCGAATTCCTATTCATGACTTCACCACTCTTCAAGGTTCGTTGTTGTGCGTGACATGTCAAACTATCATCATTTTCTTCTCCATCCAACCATGCATACCATGAGGCTTTACACGGAATCTACGAATCACTAATCTGCCTCGCCCTCTCCCTCCCCTCCATTCGTTTCAGTTCTTCATCCCACTCCTCTTCTTCCTTACTCTTCGCGTCGTCCTTGGCGTTGCCACTGCTTTTACTCCACATACGAGTGTGTTGGCTCCCAGCTCCAATTTTACCGCTACGGGAGTGAACGGCTTCTTGGAGTAAAGTTGCTTTACTCACGCCCCCACTTGCACTCCTCTGTTTCTCCTTCCCATCCTGCTTCTCATACCCTTCGATGGAGGAGGACGACAACGCAACATCCCGCCCCTGTCCCTGCCGTTTAACCATCTCGATGAAGGACGACGATGAGGGCACCGCAGAAATCTGACCTAACTGCCGTTCATAAGACGTAGTACCTTGTCTGTTATACCTCACCCCCTCCATCCCCATCCCCATCCCTTCACCAGCCGTTGGCCGCGGCGCCGGTGGACGCATGTTACAGTACGGCATCGGCGGAGGCGGGGGTCGGTTCGGTGGTGGTGGGCGGCGCGGTGGATCGAGACGCAGTGTTCCTTCCTGATGAATAACTGGAGTCGATGCCGGAGCACGAAGCGTTGATAGTGCAGACATCTTGATCGGGGCATGTGTCGGTGATAAGGAGGACGTGCGCTGGGGGTGGACTGGCGTAGTCGGTCTTGGTGTCCTTGTAGGCGGGTCGTTGGTATCGGAGTCGGAGGCGTCGAGGTATGAGGGGTTGTTGGCTTCGTCGAACGGGTTGTCGATTTCGTGGTCGTTGTCGTGATCGACTGCCTGGTCGTCGTCTCCGGTGTCGTAGACCTCGTTATCCATGTCGATGCTAGAAGGCCGACTTTCCCGCTCGACGATAGAAGCAGTTTCGCAGCGCCAACTAGCTGTGCTGGTGCTGCCGCCGCTTGCACCTCTGTTCCTCTCTTCTCCTTGTGACAAGTCGACATTGTTACGCCAATTCGCAATGCCATCATCGGTGTCGTGGCCACCTTCCCTTAACGCAGGGTGAACGGACCCATTGATCGTCAAGCCATCGCCCTCTTCATCCGCTTTTTCCTCTTCCTTCTCATGCGCCGTCTTCTTCTCTACCCTACTCTCATCTTCACTATCACCTCCCTCAGTATTACTAAACCACCTCAACTGTCTCGGCTTCCCGGCCCCCACCGGCCTCCCAATCCTCCCAACACCCCCATCCCCCCTCATCTCCAACCTCTTCCTCTCCATCTTCTTCAGCTCCTCCGCCCACCCGCTCAAATCCTCAATACTAGGTCCCTTATGCCTAGTCCCACGTTCCTGCGGGCTCATCGTACTAGCCGCACTGACAGAAGGGTTAGCTAGACTGGTGTTGATCCAGAGACTACCCTGCCGGTTACGACGGGATGCGGATGAGGAAGGTGTGGCTGTGGCGTTGCTGCGGCGGATGCTGTGGGCGTGGGAGGGGGGTGGTGTGTAGATGTTTGGGGAGGTGGTGTTGGAGAGGTTGGAGAGGGTGTAGTTGCGTGAGCGGAGTGGTAAGGTGTCGGAGCTGGGGTCGTGGGTTGGTTTGATGGGGCTGCTGGATGAGCGTTGGGTCAGGCCGAGGTTCTCGTCTGTAGCGCTGCTGCGAGCGTTCGAGCTATTCGTCAGTGTCAAGGTGAGGTCGAGCGTAGAGCTGTTCGACCGCAACGAACTGCCATCGCCGTCTCCCAGACTCCTGACAAAGTTCCCGTACTCATACCCCTCATCACTACCTTCGCTCTCTCCATCTGCGGCAATGTCGGCGAAGTACTGGCAATCATCCACAACCTTTACAGCCCACGCGAGCTTGATACCCTTCTCGCCTACCGCAACCTCCCTACTCTTCCGCCTATCCTTGTTCATCTTGAGTAAATCGCGCTGAGCCTCCAGTATAGTCGTCAACTCCCCCGTCTGCGCATCAAACTGCAACCAACTATCCACATCATCCAGTTGTTCTCGGCGGTTGATTCTATACTGTTTCGCGCCCGCGGTTTCGTCGTCGGCGTAGGAATCTAGTTTCTGCGGCAAGGAGGCGTCGATGTATGTCGACAGAGGCTGATGTAACTTGAGGGAGCCTAGGGTGACCTGAGCGGCGAGAAGTCTGTCCTTAGACTTCACCATATTCGGGTGAAGGACATCCCATTGTGGGCGTGATGTTGTCCACTCCACCACCTCCCCACCTCCCCCCCTCCGCCTCCCCTCCGCCTCCCCCACCCACCCTGGAGAGGCGTCGATGTATGTCGACAGAGGTTGATGTAGTTTCAAGGAGCCGAGAGTGAGTTGAGCGGCGAGAAAAGTGTCTTTTGGACGCACCATGGAAGGGTGTATGACATCGTTATCGCTGTTGAAGGAGCGGCGGAGTGTGTGGCGGCTTGCGCAGACCTTGAGGGCCATTTTTGAGACGGAGGCTTTGAGGTCTTCGTAGGTGGCTTTGGCTTCGGCGTCTATAGAAGGAATATTAGGAAGCCATGGCGAAGGCGGGACGGCGGTAACAGGTGTCGTTGGAATCGGTATAGCCGTAACAGGCGTCTTCGGTGAAATCAGTGACTCCCAAAACCCACCTTGCGCGAAAGAGTTCTTGACAGGCCCAGCAGTAGCCGACCTCGGCGTCCCAGGGCCCGAAGACAAGATCTCCCATCGCGGCCGCGGTGTAGTCGGACTCGCCGTCTCAAACCTTGGAAGGTGCGCTGGCCGAAGTGGATGAGCCCCCGTAGGCGCAGTCCACGAAGACGAGCTGTAAAAAAGTAGTTGCCGTCCTCCTGGTGTGACGATTGAGTGTACAGGCGGTGGAGGAGGACACCACCCAAGCACCTTCATACAGTGTTCCTTCTTAGCCCGCAAAATATCCTTCTTCGCCTGTCGCCATTTGGCCTCGGTGAAGCGCTCTTTGTTCCAGTATATGACTTCTTCCCAAAACCGAAGGTGTTGTTCTTTAGTCAGGCTCTTTAGTCCTGCGGCTTCGTGTTGGCTGATTGCCTTGCCGGTGGCGGGCGAGATGGCGCTGTCTTCTTTCGTGAAGACGCGCTCCATTGTGAGGACTCGTTCTGGCATTCTGACGGCGTGTGCGCTGGGTTGGAACGGACTAGGAAAGGTCTCGTGGGTTGCGACGGGAGTGTTTGGCGGCGTGCTCGGTAATCCCTGCGATCTGGCGAGCAGGTTGAGTGTCATAACCTCGCCCGGGTTGTTTGGTCGCGTGAAGGGGACACGGGATTAACTGATCGCCAGAGTTGCGCTCGGCGTAGTGTAGGCAACCGCGTGGGAAAGATTTGCGACTTGATAGGGGAATTCCGTCACATGTCCCTCACTTGCACTGTGAAGGAATAGGGCGGTGTCTTGCAACGGAAGTGAAAAAGGTCTTGGGTCGAGGGTGCGCTGTGATTGTATTTGTTGTGCGGTGCGACTATCACGCGCTACTACCATGAGCAAACGCGCAAGTCGGGGTGAAACTTACTCGGTGGATAGGAATATCGACCTAAGGCGTTGAGCGAATTAAGCGAATGGGAATGGCTGACAGCATGGCGGTGAAAGTGAAACGGATGTGTAAATATAATATTGACCTGTAAATTTTGTCTAGGTGGTATCCAACTCCGCTAATGCGAATGCGACGTCTAGTCTAAGAAAGTAAAAAGGTTTGTATGTACAACATTGAGAGCGCGGTCGGCCTCGCGCTCTTCAATGACACAGGAGATGTTGATCTCGCTGGCGCCTGGTAGATATTAGCAATGAAGCGGCATTGAGATAGAGAATCACGTACCCTGAGAAATCATCTCGATGTTGATGTTGTTCTGTCCCAACACGCTGAAGAATCTACCAGAGATACCAATCATGTTCTTCAGCTGCTTACCGACCAAGCTCACAATGGCCATATCAGGCACGATGTCAATGGTGCCGAGCTGGCCAAGGTCGTTGACGGCACCTTGGAGATCCTTGCTCTGGATCTTGTACTCATCCTCACCCCCGCCACTCAGAAGGGCAGACTCGGAATGGAGAGCCATGGACACGTGGACCTCGGAAGAAGAGATGAGGTCGACAGAAAGGTGCCATCGGTCGAGGATGCTGAAGATGTTCATTAAGAAACCATGGGCTCGGGTGCGCTTGTTGCTGTGCACGTTGAGCACGACGATGTTGTGCTTGATGGTGACAGCAGTGGGGCGCTTGGGGCCTTCCAGCTGAGTGAGGAGGCTCGCCGAACGAGTACGGAACAGCTTCCCGTCCTTCAGGGGCGCACGACCGTCGATATCCTTCAGGTTATCCGGGAAGATGATGGTACCGGCGTTGCGCGGGTTCATCACGTTCTTGATACGGATAGGGATGCGGGCGCGGATGACCTGCTCCATGGTGAAGGGGTGAATGACCTCAGATCCGTAAAAGGTCAGCTCAGCAGCCTCGGACGGCGTGACGGTGGGGAGAAGAGCGGCCGTGGGGACCTTGCGAGGGTCTGCTGTGAAGATGCCGTCCACCTCCTTCCAGACCTGGAGTTCCTTGGCCTGGGTACCGACGGCCACTAAGGCAGCGCAGAGGTCGGTGTATCCACGTCCAATGGAGTTGAGCAGTCCGCCGGGCACGTTGCCAAAGTATCCGGTAATAACAGGCACCTTGTCGCCGCATGCTGCCACCTCTTTGCCCAGGTCCTCGGCCAGATCCTTGTAGAACTTGTCGTTGAGCCCGCCCTTGATAGGCGCGTGGAGCCTGACGATGTCGCTGAGGTCGACAAACTGGGCCGGGGTGCCGCGATCGTTCAGGATGGCGGCCATGTAGCGGCAGCTCAGCTTCTCGCCCTTGCTGATGATCTTGTCCTCGGCGCGGTTCGTGACTTCCTCCAGGTGCTGCGCGGATTCCAGGATCTTGACGAGGCTCTCACACTCGGCATTGACCTCCTCCGTGTACGACGCCAGGATGTCCGGGTTCCTCAGGATGTCCTTGCCGGCCTGGATGTGGTCGGTGCGGATGGCCTCGACGATCTCGTCATAACCGCGGTGGTTGGGCTTCTCGGCAGCGCGGGCGGCACGAAGGAGGCGGTTGGTGGTTCCCTCGAGCTTGGTGTTGCTGCTGCGTGCGGAGCAGACAATGGCGGCGCGGTTCGTCGCAAGACCAGCTCTGTTTACTGTCAGCGCCTTCCATCTGGTGGGGGTTGGGATGGGTCGCACTTGACGATGCCCGCTATGTTCTCCGCAAATTTGCCCACGCTCGTGCCCCCGAACTTGAGGACAACCCAGCCTCCAGGGAGGTGCTTCTCTTCCGTGTGAGCTATCCGCTCCGACTCGTGTGTGGTTCCGTTTGTGTATGCAGACATGGTGGTGTTTTGTGGTTTCTCCAAGCAATTGGCGAGGTAAAGTTTCCTAGATGTTGGTATATATCAATGATGTATGGAAGACGTGTTATTCTCAGTATATGACGTGTGTTGTGTCGTGTGAAGTCTGGAGCAGCGGAGTGAGGGAATTCTCAATGTCTTTTAGTGGGGCCTGAGTCAGAAAGTCCATGTTCGCGCCCGCAATCGGCGCCGGCGCTGCTGACGCCATGCCAGCGAACCACGACTCCACAACCCAGGAACATGCACACACACACACACCTCAACGGAACGGATCGGTGCATGCGCATGTCCTCCCGGTAGCCAATGATGCGCTCACCATCCAGCTACTGCGCCTTTGTCCGCACCCTTCGCAGCCCGCGTCTCAACACCACGTCCTCTGGTGCCTCTGATACCTGACAGCTCATTCCTCTTATCGCGTCTTAGCGCGTCGTCCAAAGTACCGTGTCGTCCGCGTCCGACTACGTGCCGGTAGTTGCTCTTCGGCCCATCGGCTATTCGTCCTCTATGTCTTGTGCACCACCTGTGCGACACTTCAGTAATCACGGTATTATCTAGCCATCTCTAGTCAGCGGCGAATTGATCCGATCATGTCCACGTCCATACATCGGGAACATGAGTCTGGGAATCCGTCGCTCATCAACGACGTTGCGTAAATCAATTTTGGAAACCCGCTTCGCTAACCCCTAGTATACTCTAGCAGATCTCGAAAGGTTGCCTCATCCTCAATCTCAAGCGCTCGACTTTGCAGGCTTTGCAGTTCCTCTTGGCCGTAGCTACCGCGCGCCAATAATTTACCAACAATACTTCGATACCCTTTACCAACTGCTTCAGTCAGAGCGTTCCCTATCTCTGCATCGTACTCTAGAAGAAGAGAAACAACAGCGAACTGTCCATACCGTACTGCTGTCTCCAACGCCGGTTTACATGTATCCGCACCATGTCCTAGCAACACCCGAACTACCTTCTCATGTCCGTTCCGACAAGCGCCTAGAAGGGGTCGCTTCTCGTATTCACTAGACGAACCGAAGCCGTCTACACGGGCGCCAAGTGCAAGATAATGCACTGTTATATCCACCCACCCATTCCTCGCGCTACGCACTAAGAACGCCGTGTATTCCTCAACACCAAACGTTCTGGTAACGCAGTGTTCTAGTCGCTTCTTGACAAGGAAGTCATAAATCTCCAAACTTGGTGTGTCCAGCGAAGCCAACGCTCGCTCGTTCTGACACCAGTAGGAAGGTCTCTTGGTCTTTCTGTCAAGCATCCACGGACGTTCCACGGCCTGGAAATTCCACAAGAACTGCGTCGTCTCTACACGCCCATACTTGGCGGCCTCGATGAGCAAGCGCATTCGCATATACTGAAAGTCAAAGTCATACCTCAAGTTCAGCATAGCGGCAAGAACCTCGTGATTGCTGAACCTACCAGCGTGGAAGCATCCCGAACCAAAGAGCCAACTTGGTTTATTGAAATGTTTTCCGTGGATGGTCCATCTCGCGACAACAGGGAGTGTCTGTGTGTACAGGGCAGCAATATAGATATCGGTGTCCAAGTCGCTACCATATAAAATTCCGTTATGCCAGAACTCAGCAGCTAGGTCGGTCGTCCATAGTTCGTCTAGGCGATTGAATTCCTGCAACACAAGGGGGCATAGCTGACGAATGTAGTCGTTCTCGTTTCGCTCATCGTCGGTCTCTTGACTAAGACGGTTGGCGACGCTGCGGATCCAGAGTAGAACAGGAGCTCCGCCACTTCGCTCGTTCAATACCCGGCGCTCAAGATAACCTATAAACATAGTAGGTGCAGCCTCGTCGCTAAGATGTAGCAGAGGCCGGAACTCGGCATCCAGAAGCTTGTATAGGGCAAGCACCCTCATAATCTCCCCATCGAAAATCTCTATAGCCGCTCGTTAGCAGAGGTACCTGCGCACAAGATGTACAGGGGAGCCTACTATTCACAAGCCGTAATCGAAGGCCACGCTTTGTTCCCCGCACTAAGATCGCCCAGCCAAGGATTTCGTGCAAAAGCTCCAATGGCAGATCTAGCAGATGCATGGTGGATAGAGTGGTTGGCTTTGTAAACAAGATAGCTGTTCGGGAGGAGAAGAAGATTTAACAAGCACGTAAAGCGTTCAGCGGCTCTTGTCGTTCGAACACGTTCGGGCGCGAAAAGTCGCGCTAAGAGGACCCTGGAAACCACTTGATTGGCTACTAGTAGCGGCGTAAGCTGCTGCCTGCCATCGCCTTTCCAACCTGAACAACAACAATGTCGTAGGTGGTTATACAGCTACACGCATCCCACCGCCTGCTCGCATCCTGATCATATCCACACATCGGGAACATGCCTCTGGAACCCAGCCGCTCATGTCAATGAGAGGCAACGTCGATCCATCCGGACTCACAGACCACTCGCATCCCACCGACTGTCCCGGCTGTTGAAGATGTTCGCGATCAATGCATCAAGCCCTAATTGGAAGTCCGTGTTCGACGTTTACCCTGCGCTACGGAGAAGGTGTCGAGAACATCATTCGACGTGTCGACCACACAGTAACCTTCGGCTCGTGGCTGTCGATCGACCCTCAAGTATCACGGCATAGTTCAAGCTGACTCCGTGACGACCAACTCGCAATCTTAACTGTGCCTCTCATTTAGGAGTACGGTCATCTCAACTATCCGAGACTTACCCAGCGCTCCTGACTCAGACGCGAGCGTGGCCCCAGTTCTGTCTCCTCATGTTCTCGCAGCGTCGAAGACCTGTAGGCCTTCTTACCTGTATTGCCGGTTCATGGATCTTTCTCAGCGGACTGGTAGTGCTTGATGTGGCCAGGATTCGTGTTCTACCTCCCTATACCGCTGTTTGTGTCTCGTTACTCCCGTCAGGACTAAGCGCCAAGATGTGGCACAGGTTTGATCACACCCAAACACGCAATGACCAGGACCTTCCACGACGTTCATTGCTGACCACACGGCACACTCGTCGCTACGAATCAGATCCGGGGAATTGAATCACCATGCAGGAGATATTGACTTTACCCGATACGGCATGCGCATGACGGCAGGCGACTTATTGCGAGTTGCGACCAACGCGTCGTGATGGAGTACTCAGCTCTTCTTCGTTGCGCGCATCGTCTCTCATTTCACGTTTCTTATCATTCATTTCGAACCTCTGTTGCGTGGTCGCTCACTGCACACTATGGCGGGCATCGAAGACGTCTACAACGACGTCTACACCGTCCCTCCCGGTGGTCGGTGGCCAATAACGCCTGGTGAAATTTCTTTGGAGCCACTTACGACCCCTTTCACATACTCTGCGACTTGCACCGAGAACTGGAGGCTTCACGAATACGATCCCAATCCGGACTTTCTTCAGCTTTCCATTCCCAGCTCCTGTCGATCGTCGGGCGGTCAATCTATCCATAGTCCAGGCACATGCCTTGATGGATACCGAATAGCCAATTTGATAGAATTCAGAACGACGCCAGATGTTTCAGGCGGTCCACGAGTGTGGGCAGCAGACTGCTGCAGAAGGTACCTTTCACTCTCGAGTCAATGTGAAAGTGTGCTGACAACCGACAGTGGTTTCGCCTGGTCTCGTGGAACATGCAAATCTGCATTCAGCACGCCTGTCACTGCTTACCTTCCAAAGCGAATTCCTGGTACTACCACTACGTCCAATAGCGAGACGTTCACATTCACCGCCTTCGACCGGGATTCCAGAGACAATGCTACCGTAGTCACTAGCGGTGTCATGTACATGGACGTGATGCTAGTATACTGGCAAGAGTCCGACATGTCAAATTTCGATCGAGATTACGCGTCATCGCTCGCAGAGGTCTTGCTCCCGAGCAACACATTTACGCCCACGCCCACATCGACCGCACGATTCATAGCTAAGACAGCATCACCACCAAATCGAAGCCAATATGCATCAGCCACAGCGCCGGCAAAATCAAACTCCATTGAGGCCGCCGACTCATCCAACCCGACTCTCAGTGGCGGCGCCAAGGCAGGAATCGGTGTTGGAGTGGTCGCGGGAGTAATACTACTGTGTGCTGGTGCTTTCTTGCTCTACAGAACACGAGCTCGGAAGGCGAAGCTCGACCGCAAGTCGACTTTACAGAACGAACAACCTGAGTTTATTCAGACAAGCGCTGCATAGCTGGCAGTGATGAGAAGAGGCGCTTCCGCCGCTAGTTGTTGGCGATGGAAGTGTGAAGGCCGGGCTAGGCTTGGTGGGATAGTGTAGGATAAAGGGCAGGAAATAATGTAATTTCACACGGGCGTAGGCGAGCGCAAGAGAAGGACGATGATGGTTTTAACTCTACCTGATCAACGGCGAACTAATCCGATGCAGTGGACATTCGCAATGATCGCTCGATTACCAACACCAACCTTAATATACCAGTTTCGACCAATGTTATGCATTCGGTTGCTTACCGTCATTCCGCCAGCACCCTATCCAAGGGGAGAACTGGACACACCTCTACGAAGTACAGCTATAAGAAATGCTGAGAAGGCTACATTGCCTCAACATTCTCCCAAATGAAATCAGTAAGATATTGTAGACCTCTAGACACCTGTCAAGGTTGTCCCTTGAATGGGCAGCCAGGGTCCAACGAAGCTCAACGCGAGGCGGCGGGACGAAGATGCGGCACAGCACCAGGCAACGCCGGACAGCCAATGATTGGAGCCTTTCCGCGGGCCACACCAACCTCTGCCTCATGCGCATATACGGCGTAGTTGTCTCTGCGAATTAGGCATCGAGGATCGAATCACCATGCAGGAGACTAGAAAGCATTTTGTTGCGGATTGGCAGCGGCAGCCCGGACGCCACAAACGCGCTGCAATTGAAGTACCCGGCCCTCGCAGATAGTAAAGCTCATCTGTGATTCCGTTTCGAATCTACGTCAACTACTCTCGACTTCCTTTGGCAACACAAGGTCTGACAGTCGTCATCATGGCAGGCCTCGCAGATGCTGGCCTCACAATCTACACTGTACGATCAGGCGGATTCTTTCCAACCAATGATGAGCACAACCACTACTTGCCAATTCCGACTTCTTTCACATTTGCGTCGACATGTACCGATCAGTGGATTATCCAGGATCCGTTGACCTCCACAGTCCTCACAAACCCCGTTCCCACATCATGCCTACCTCACAGCAGCCGGGCCTACAATAGCCCAGGCACATGTATCAGCAATTACCATATGGTTGCACTGGCCGAGTACAGAACCACAGGTTGGACGTCAGGGGGTTCACGCGCATGGGGTGCTGTTTGTTGTAGGGAGTACGTCCATGGATCTAGCTATTACAGAGCTACTCCTGCTACATAAAAGCCCGGGCACTTAAGCTGACGAAGACGATAGCGGCATGTTGGCGTCGGACGCGACAGCGAGCGCTTGCAGTTCCAGCTTCAGCACACCGGTCACTGCGCAGTATCCCAATGCCTACCCCGCCCTCATCAGCGATCCAGCTGGAGAAGAGCCAAGAGAGATAAGCGAGGGAGTTCAGTTGATGGCCCCAATGATCGTCTACTGGCAAGAAACGGATCTTTCAGACTTCGATCCTGGATATGCGGCGACACTAGCCGCAAGACTAGACATCGACTTCACGCCGACAGCCACGTCCGAGACGGCGCCTTCGACTTCAACTACTTCTCCGGCGGACGATGGTGGCGAAAAGTCATCCAAACCTGATCTCAGTATCGCCGCAAAGGCAGGCATAGGCGTGGGCATCGCTATCGCGGCTATCCTGATGGTAGTCGCCGGTCTCGTACTGTACAGGAGATACGTTCGCAAGAAGGCGAGGCTTGACCGTAAAGCTGCTTTACAGAACGAACAACCTGAACTCGTGCAGACACGCGCTGCATAATTCCACCTTGCCGACAGCGACCTTTATATCCCCACATCGAGATAATGCAGTTGGGACTCGACGAGTTTGACAGATCAGGGATGCGATCTCGTTGGTCTGTGCCCACCCGACACTCTGCAATTCAGAGTTCTTTTTACAGCATTGCCAGGGGTGGTGAGGGACGTTCGCTCTGCTTTCAAGGTTTATTAAGAGCAGGAACATCGCGATAGCCACTGTCCCTTTCCATTGCACCCACTGCTTCTGTTTAGTCACAAAGGCTAGCCCGAGTTCGACGTCCCTTCAGCTTGTTGGTCGGTATCCATCGACACTCTACTGTTCTATCCTGTAGCGCTGGGAGCTATTGTATATATAGTCTGGGTTGCATTTCTTTCTGCCCTTCGGTACAGTTCTTTGTCTCCCATTTGTCCGCTGCCAAATGCGGCGGAACTGGGCAGGAGGCTGCGGGAACGTCATGCGGCACAGTTCTGGTCACAACACAACGACCAATGGCAGGCACTTACCGCCATTTATGTTCCTTGCGCGTTCAAGACACAGCTATTCCCGCAGATTATGTTGTATGCAAGGGCCATAAACGCGGTTTGTGACGCGTTGGTACACCGGTATCGGTTAGAGAGATCGCCATCACCGACGCGTTGTGGTTTCAATGGAGGTTCTCTACAAAGGCTGCTAAACTAGAGTGATATAACAGACTCGATCTCATATTAACTTCATCCTCACCCCAACCGTAAGCTGTGCATCATGGCAGGTCTTTTGACTGCTCGCCTTACCATCAAAACGGTATCACCAGGACAATTCTTTCCGACGACATCTTCGAACGCTATAGTTACTTGGCCACCGCTCACGACTCCATTTACGACTCCATCTCATTGCACCAATGAATGGACAATCCTTACCTCGGGTGACACCACTGTAGGGAATGGGCCAGCTAGCAACTGTTTACCTGGCGGAAGCTATACGCACAGTCCGGGTACAGTGCTCAGTGACTACCACATCGTTGACGTAGCTGAGTATAGAACACCGGGGTGGACAGCAGGCGGAATTCGCGCATGGGGTGCCGCCTGTTGTAAAAAGTACGTCGTACCATGAACCTAGGGCACGGCTATATACAAAAGAGTCATGACTTGAGCAAAGCGCACTTTTGCTAACACCGATGGCAGTGGTTGGACGAACACAGAAACCATCGAGGGCTCCTTTTACTGCTTTTCATCGTTCATCACACCCATCACCGCATTGGACCCCTGGGCCGGAACTGGCCGTGAGCATAGAACCACCACTACCATACTCAGCCGGGGAGAAATAGTAGATTCGAATATGCTAATCTACTGGATGGAATCCGACTTATCAAAATTTGATGCCGAGTACGCGGCGACATTGGAAGAGAGGTTTGCCATAGGCATGAGCGCAGAACCCGCAACTGTTACTGCAGAAAGCACGTCATCTGATTCATCTTTCACGTCGACTGCAACAATGGCCGTTACGAAAGACACGGCAGCACCGTCAGCTCGAACCCAATTCACCTCGGTAACATTAACATCGTCGTCATCATCGGTGGCACCAAACTCCAAAGAAAAGGCCGATAACTCCGATTTTGGGCTCAACGCTCGCGCTAAGGCTGGCATAGGCTTGGGTGTTGCCATCGCGGTAATACTGATGGGTATTGCTGGATTTGTAATGTACAGGAAAAAAGTCCAGAAGCAACGCGCCCTTGATCAAAAGTTCGCTAAACAAAATGAGCAGCCAGAGTGGGTGCAAAAGCAGAGGGCTTAGCCGACAGAATGGATGAGGTACGCTCCCTCTACTGGGAAGCTATCGGATTCACGATCTGCTATGGGCCGATTGTGTTGGGGATGCTTAGAAGAAAGAGGATGAAAGATTGGTGCTGATTCCATGTGCACCTCATACAGTCCCAGGGTCTTCAGATTCATCCTGGGTTGACATGCATGGGTGGAGGAAGTTGGTATTTTGATGGTGGACATTCTCTCTGAAACGCGTACGCAACACGTATCGACTTTCGATGTATTGCTTGCTAAAATTGTAGTGCACGGCAAGGATTGCGCTTTCCAGGCACGCAAGCGATACCGTATCCCGTAACATTGGCCAATGCCGCATGGAGTAGATCCCTGTGTGCTTTCCCGCCCTTTGCCAATCCCCGTCGACCTATTAGGGCCCAACAATATCGAACGTACAGTTCCTGGACAAAGACGTGGCACGTCCCTCAACGCCCTCAATCCTGCGCACGTGTGGCACAGCTCCCTTCACAAATCAGATGCGGCTCATCGAGCCTTTACGCATGGGATAGTAGCGCTTCTTTACGCATTTGGAACGTCGCTACCGACCCGTTATGAGCAATGTGTCCAGCCCTGGCAGATACTTGACGTGGGTTTATTACAATGTTTCTGCGTCCATCCGGGAACTGTTGTCCACAGAGTTGCTATCATGTCATCAAACATCGATGATGCTTCTCTTGCCATCTATACAGTATCAGGAGACCAATATCCGCTAGTGAACACGTTCAGTACTGTCCCGCCGCTCACTACCCCCTTCGCTTTTGCACCGACATGTACCGAAGGCACGAAGTTTCAGGACCCGGGTCAACCCAGCCGTGTCCACAACTTCATTCCTCTCTACTGTCAGCCCGATACCACCATGACGCATAGCCCGGGCTCATGTGTTAGCGGCTATCAGATAAAGCAGATAGTCGAGTTCCGAACGCCGGATTGGACGTTGGGCGGATTAAGGGCATGGGGAGCTGCTTGTTGTAGAGAGTACGTGTGATCTTTTGGCTATCGAGGCGATTACCTCGGATATACACCTGGCCTGGCCTGGCCTTGACGGGGATTGCTCCTGCTAACACCCTCGATAGTGATTATATGGCAACGGCATCCGACGCAACAGAGTGTCTATCAGCCATAGATACGCCCATCACCGCGTATACCGTGGCGGACGCGACCTTGCCAACGAACGCCGCTGGGCAAGAGATACCCGAAAAACCCTCCATCATCTCCAGCGGAACGGTCATCATGCAACCAATGTTGGTCTACTGGCAGGAGTCAGACCTCGTCCACTTCGATTCCGACTACGCGTCTACACTGGCTTCGAAATTCGATATCGGCTTTGCAGCAATGGAAACGCCGGGTCCGGCAACAGAAAGACCAAGACTCACGACGGTATCACCGCAATCAGACTCCGCAAAAGGAACAGCATCACCGCTAGATCAAATACAAGTCCCTTCGGCAACGTCGTCGACAGGTGCAACAACAACCTCTCCAGCAGCGACGGGCCTCCCGAAACCAGGCCTCAGTACAGGCGCCAAAGCAGGCATAGGATCAGCCGCAGTCGTTGCAGCGATACTACTATTGGTCGCCATTGGATTTATACTGTATAAGAGATGGCTCCATAACAAGGCAGGACTGGACGGGAAAGCTGCTGAATTGAATGAACAGCCCGAGTTTCTGGACGCGGATCTGGTGCGTTGGAGAAGAGACAAGGGAACGGGGTTGTGAGCGCGGTTGATATATATATGTACGGACGATGTCCCAGAAGAGAAAGGAGAAAAGCGCCTTTAGCTCAAATATGCGGAAGTAGGTCGGTGGGGCTTCGCGAGGCGGTTTGAGATGGGGGTGTAATGACATACAGGCGCACATAAATGATCCCACTTCTAGTCGCATCTTGCGCGTTTCGGAATATGGCCATGTTGATAGTTTATTACAGTGAGTTGCGACTCGATACTTGTCTTCCTTCATGTCTGGTAGGAACGTAGTTGCGTCATGTGATCGGAAGTCATGCCAACGTCCGCCTTGATATCAAAGCAACAGTAGCTCACCAACCACGTCACCAAGCCCATCGAACCATGCTTGCACCCACGTGAGACCATGAAAGGCGTCGAATAGCGTGGCATGCGCATCTCCTGATTGGCTACTTTGATCCTACGCATTCGGCATTCTCATTTGCATAGACGTGAACCACGACAGGCGTCATGCTCTCCTCGCTGACCATTGTCTTGTTGAAGGTGCTGACTCTGCACACTATTTGGTGATATCGTCTACGTCATCACACGCCTAAACTAAACCGCATTGAGCGCACTACGAGACACCTTCTGAAAGCGCGAACGACATGGGCTGGAAGCCGTGGAAGCCGTGATACGTAGCTTCAAAACACGGCAATTTGAAGACAACCGCTTCATTTCCATAGCAGAGAAGCTTCCCCTACCCTTACGGCACAGCTGCCTTTCTTGTGATTTTCAGCTGCCCACCATGAACTACATCTCAAGTACAGCTCCCCTACTACCACAATCCCACCACCCCAAGCTAACAACCCAGACCTCGTAAACTCGGACGACATCATCAACCCCCTCATCGACAATGGATATCTCCCCCACCCGGTCATTCGCGTCGGCATCCGGCGCCAACTCGCCGACCGCCTCACGTCTATCGCCAACACATCCCTCCAGGCGAGCTATGAGTCCAAGATGAAATACGTTGAGCTACTCCGCGAACGACCCATTGCCATTGAAACCAAGACCGCGAATGAGCAGCATTATGAAGTCGGAACGAGTGTGCTGAAGGGTATGCTGGGCCCGCGGATGAAGTACTCGGCGTGCTTGTATGAGAAAGGTGGGGAGACGCTTGGAGAGGCGGAGGTGAGGATGATGGAGACATATGTGCAGAGGGCAGGGTTGAAGGATGGGATGACGGTTTTGGATCTGGGGTGAGTTCTCATCCTTTTCGTTCTTTTCATCCTCTCCTTCATGATTTCGGTGTCTTCCGCACTAGATCTCGAAGACGGCATATTACGAACACGAGATATCACGTGCCCCACTAACATCCCCATCCACAGTTGCGGCTGGGGCTCCCTCTCCCTCTACCTCGCCGAAATCTTCCCCAACAGCCGCATAACCGGCTTCTCCAACTCGCGCACACAGAAACAACACATCGACTCCGTCGCCGCCTCCAAAGGCTTCAAGAACCTCATTGTCGTAACCGGCGACGTGGTAGACCATG